ATATTATATTATATTATATTATATTATATTATATTATATTATATTATATTATATTATATTATATTATATTATATTATATTATATTATAATATTATATTATATTATATCATGTTTTACTATTATCCCTGTTCTTCTCTAATGAGAGACAGAAAGGGAGTGGATCTAGATGAGAGAGGTGTTAGGGAGGAACTGGGAGGAGGAGAGAGGGAAAACTGTAATCAGGATGTATTAAGTGAGGAAAAAAATCTATTTTCAATAAAAGTAAAAGGAAAGAATATCAAGGGAGAGAGAGCTAGACAGCAGGAATTGAAGGAAAGTCCATGTCATGTGTGGTATTTTGTACATTTTCAAATAGATATTGACAAATGAAAAGCTGTACCTTTGGAGATTTAGAACTTCTGAAACAAATTAACAGGAAAGAAGGAAAGCAGCACAGAGTTTCTCTTAGCTCAGAAAACAGGGTGTATTTAACTGTATGTCTTCGTCTGTGCTTTCTTAGCCAGATGACGCTTGTTCCAAACCATCTACTCCTCCTGCTTTACAACGATAAAATGTAACCCCCTAATGCACGCCCATTTCACCCAAACTGCAACCACAGAAGGGCCTTTCCCAGGGCTGCTCCTGCAAATCAGTCTCTCACAGAACAAAGCATTACGTCCAATTGCATAGTTGGCTGTTCAAAATCACTGCATAATCAGCACCAAGTGCAGCTGCTACAAGGGCGTTCTGAGTGACCCCATGACCAAGTCAGCACATCTGTGTCATTACAAAAGTATGCACGGGACAGTTGATATCATCTGCTGTACTTCTCTAGTAGGGTTCCCACCCCTACACACCACACTGCAGGCTTCACGCACCTGTATCCACAACGCCCACGGAAGCCCCAAAGACAGACATGGTGATGATCAGTATGAGTGCCGTCTTGCAGAACGGGATGAGATAAAGGCCCGCCGCTGTTGCAACCATTGACAGCCCTGGGAGGAAAGGTAAGAAATTCGGCTGTGGGAGCTGGGAACACAGCTCAGTAGTAAAATGCATGCTTGTCTAGTGGGCATGAGCCCCTGGGTTTGATCCCCACTGCAGAAATAAACTCTAATATTAAAAAATGAAAATGAGCTATAAAAAAACTGTATCCCAGCCGGGCGGTGGTGGCGCACACCTTTAATCCCAGCACTCGGGAGGCAGAGCCAGGAGGATCTCTGTGAGTTCGAGGCTAGCCTGGACTACCAAGTGAGTTCCAGGAAAGGAGCAAAGCTACACAGAGAAACCCTGTCTCAAAAAACAAAAAACAAAAAAA